CGCTGCCCAGGCGGGTCTCAAACCTGTGGGCTCAGGCAATCCACTCACAAGAAAAACTTTATAGGTATAGAAATTTTGTATGCTACCAAAGGTAAGTTATGGTATCCATTCAAATTAGACTATTATAAATACAGGATATTAATCGTAATCTCCGTAGTAACCACAAAGAAAACATATAACAATTATACATGAAAATGAATTAGAAGGAAACTGGAAAGGCTCACTATAAAAAGAAAATCAAAAGAAGACAATACCAAAGAAAATGAAAGACAAAAATGTACAAGGCATACAGAAAATAACAAAATGTTAGACGAGTCCTTTCTTATACTAATGACTTTAAATGTAAATAGTTTAAATATTCGAATCAAAAGGCAGAGACTGGCAGAATGGACCCAAAAAAAGGTCCAGTGACATGCTGTCTGCAAGAGATGCACTTTAGTTCCAAAGACATATATATATTGAAAGTGAAAAGCCAGAGAAAGATATGTCATGCATCTAGTAACCAAAAGAGCAGGGGTGGCTATGCTAATATCAGGTGAAATAATATCAAGTCAACTACTGTCATAAGAAACAAATGAGAATATTATATATTGTTAAGGGTCACTTCATGGAGAAGATACTACAACAATATATAATCATGTATGTGTCAAACAACAGAGCCACCAAAATATATGAAGCAAACATTGACAATATTGAAGGAATAAATACTTCCACAATTGGAAACTTCAATATTCCATTATTGAAAATACAACATTTACATAGAAGATCAAAAAGGAAAAAATAACACAGTAAACCAACTAGACCTAAGAGACATATATAGTAAACACTACACCCAATAACAACACTACACATTTTTCTCAAGTGTATACAGAACATTCTCCAGGATAGACTGTCTGTTAGGCCACAAACTAATTCTCAGTAAATTTAAAAAGATTAAAATCACACATTTTCTCAGATCACAATGGAATGAAGTTAAAAATCAATAACAAAAGGAAAACTAGAAAATTCACAAAGATGCAGAAATTAACACTCAGCCAGTGGATCAAAAAAGAAGTCACAAAGGAAATTAGAAAATATGACATTATCTAGAAATTCCACCCAAGATATATACTCACAAGAATTTAAAAACAGGGACTCACATACTTGTGTGTCAGTGTTCACTGCAGCATTATTCACAATAGCCAAAAGGTAGAAATGCCCAAGAGTTCATCAACATATGAATGGATAAACAAAATGTGGCATATACATACAATGGAATATCAGTCATAAAAAGGAATGAAATTCTGATACATGCTACAACATCTATCAATCTTGGAAACAATAAGCTAAGTAAACCAGACACAAAAGGACAAATATACACTGTATGAGTCCACCTGTGAGAAGTATCTAGAATAGGTAAGTAAATTCAGAGAGACACAAATTATATTAGAGGTTACCTGAGTAAGGGAGGTTAATGGTTAGAGTTTCTGTTTGAGTGAGGAAAAGTTTTAAAAATTGTGATAATAGTTACACAACACTGTGAAAGCAATTAGTGACTCTGAACCACTCTCTGGAATGTTTAAAATGGCAAAATTTTGTTATATACATCCTTATATTTAAAAAGTTTCATATGATACACATTTAATATATTAAGATCTGCTTTATCTCTGGGTGAAAATTCACAAGAATGTTAAAGATAATCTTACAGAATAAGAAACATGACTGATCAGGTGTTTCTGACCACCTGTATTTATGAGCTGATCGTATATTTGCACAGCTTTAAATCCTGAAACATGTCCATCCACCAATCTACCAAGAAGGTTGACGTGTGTTTACCAATGAAGAAAGAGAACAGGCTTCAATGGCTATCTTCTAACAAGATAAAAAGAAAAATGTGAGAGAGGTTCCTGTTAAAATCTTGAGTTTTTCTCAGCAAATAATCTAAATAAGTGAATGACAGCATAGCTATTGTTTGTTGGAAGTAGTTAAATGGTTATATAACAATCATTACTGAAAAAGACCAAGAAAGCAGCAGAAGGCCAGGTACAGTGGCTCATGCCTGTAATCCCAGCACTTTGGGAGGCCAAGATGGGAGGATCACTTAAAGCCAGGAATTTGAGACAAAGAAGCAACTGAATGTTGTCTGGCAGACAAACCTTTACCCTCCAGGAAGGAGATTGAAAACCTCTACTCTAGAAAATCTAACTAAACCAAGATATTTATGTGAAGGAAGAGACTCCCAAAAAAGCCTATCCACGTAACCCTAAAGACAATCACTTCCCGCAAGTGCAGGACTTTCCTAGTATTTTAGTTTCCCATTCAGTAGCCATAAGACCACCAATGATTACCAGATGTCTCGAAAAAGCCTAAAGTATAGAAAACAAATAAATACATCCAAAAAGAGGAAATCTGAAAACATGTGCAGAAAAATAATTCCACAAGGAAAAATACAGGTGGGCGCAGTGGCTCATGCCTATAATCCCAGCCCTTTGGAAGGCAGAGGTGAGAGTATTGCCTGATCCAGAGGTTCAAGACCAGCCTGGGCAACTTGGCGAGACCTTGTCTCTACAATAAAAAAAAAAAAAAAAACATAGCTGCGTGATGGTGTGGTGGCATATGCCTGTGGTTCCAGCGACTTGGAAGGCTGAGGTGGAAGGATCACCAGAGCCCAGCAGGTCAGGGATACGATGGCTGTGAGCATGCTACTGCACTCCAGCCTGGGCAAGACTGAGACTCCTACTCAAAAGAAAATAGAAAAAAAAAAAAAACACAATAATGAATACACTCAGTGGTAAGAGAACAAATCCATATATAAAATAGGCCAGGCATGATGGCTCATGCCTATAATCCCAGCACTTTGGGAGGCCGAGGAGGGGATTGCCAGAACCCAAGAGTTCAAGACCAGCCTGGGCAACTTGGCGAGACCTCATCTCCACAATAAATCAAAAATTAGTTGGGCATGATGGCGTGTGCCTGTAGTTCCAGCACCTTGGAAGGCTGAGGCAGAAGGATCACCTGAGCCCAGCAGGTTGAGGCTGTGGTGGCCAGGAGCGTGCCATTGCCCCTCAGCCTGGGTGATGGAGATTTCAACTCAAAAAAATAAAATAAAATAAAAATATAAAATAAGAACAATTATAAGAAAACGAACTTAACAAATTAAAAAAGTCTTAAAATTGTAAAATACAGTAGCACAGAACAGTTGAAAGACTGAGTTAAAGAGCTAAAAAACAGAGACTAGGGTTGAGGGCAAGGTAAGAAAATAAACAGTACTGAATATTCAAAATCCAAATAATAGTTTCAGGAAGAAAGAAGTAGAGGAGACAAAATTATCAATGAATGATAAAGGTTCCCTAGAAGTGACACAAATGAATTACCAACTTGAAAGGGCTCACCAAAAGCCCAAAACAATGAATACAGACCCATACCAAGGCACATCACTATGAAATGTGTACAAGGAGCAGAAATCAAAGTGACTTTGGGACATCTCAACACAACAATGGAAAAAAGAAGACAATGGAGAAATCGTATTTTTAAAATTCTGAAGAAAAATTATCTCCCACCTAAAACCATTAAGTATCAATCAAGTACTATAAACATGAAAGGGCTTAAATGTTTTACCTCCAAGTGTACTTCCTCTAGAAACTACCAAAGGATGTACTCCACCAAATTATTACTCAATAAAATGGAAAACATGGAATCCACAAAAAGGTTCAGCTACAGAAGCTTGTTCCGAGAGCGTCAGGCACCAGATGACAGATCTGAGCATAATTCAGTGACAGGTTGAGGGTTGCCTTCATCAAGATCTAGTCTAGACTGAGGAACAGTATGCCCAGGTCTGGGCCAAATTATGCTTTGACCAATGCATGCTTGTCTTCATCATGTGTGATTACATCCCATGCCTCAGTTGCATGGATCAGCAAGATCACTCATATCACCCCACAGAGAGATTCTGCCTTAACCTGCTCCTAAGAGCTGTGATTCACCATTCTCTGAAAAATAATTTACTTCCTCTGACCACATTTCCACCAGACATCAGTTACCCAGTCCACACTATAATCCTGCCAGATACCCCATGGTGAGACTTCTGCTTAGTAGAACTCACTCACAATCATAACCATAAACTTCCTCAGAAGTGGCTTTTGTTAACTTTCAGGAAAGCTGAAGCCAGAGTACAAAGCAGAGACTGTCATGATTTCCTTGAAGCCATCATGTAACAATGGCAATAGTGCCCTGTTATACTTGCTAACAGGTTTTCAAAACTAGATATATTGCTCAAGAATATATGTAGGCAATTAACTAAAAGAACTGCAAGGAAACAGCTAACACCAAGTGAGAATGGTGTTTGTATCTGGAAGAGGGTAAGGCTTCAATTGCAGATACACAGGAGTCTTCAATCTTAACAGATGTTTTATTTCTTAACCTTCTTAGATATTACTAAATGTTCTATTTCTTAACCTGATAGTGCGTGCATGAATGTTCATTTATTTTTTAAATCATACATTGTTCTGTATTTATCATTTCACAATTTAAGAAAACCACCCCCCAACTTCCCTTGCTCAGATTCCATGCTCACCAAAGAGCATTCTGGTGATGCTTTGACTTCTTTTTTTTTTTTTTTTTTTTTTGTT